TGAAACCTTAAAACCTGCGAAATCATTAAATACATTTGTTATGTATAGCCACAGAAGAAAAAGAGATTAAACATAGTTACAATTTCATAGGTGATGTTTTTAAATTATAATTTAATTTTTATTCAGATAATCTACACAATAATATTTGCATTGAAATATTATATACATTACTGAGCCAAAACTCTACTTGAAGTATTATAAAAAAAAGAACATTAAATGTAATTAACTAAGTATAGGTGTGGCAATTACCGTAAGTAGATGGATTATTGATCAAGTCAAGAACTAAAGGGTAAGTGTCTGCAAATACTAGTGTTGCATTTGGAAGACGATGGTTTAGTGTGTTGATTAGCTTCTGAACATTAGAGTTGAATTGCAGGATCCATTCATTGACCCGCTTTAGACATTGGCCTCGTTTTGATTTAACCCTCTGTGATGGAATGCAACCTAGAGGACCAAGTCCGTGGAACACCATTTTTCTTGCTCCCAGCAGATATAGACTCTGATATAATCGGATAACTTTAGTAGTTGATTGAGTTATTATGTAGATGAAATTATTTTTGGATGGTATTGATGTGAAGAAATGGGTCTCACAAGGGAATGGTAGTTTGTTAAAGTCTTCTATATGTTAATTTTAACAAATACACTAATGAATTTTACCTGAAGTTGTTGATCTAAGGTTGAAATTAAGAGCTCAATGAACTCATCATGAGTGTATTGCTGGCCATCTGCCAAAAATGGTTGCAAGAAATTGTTCACGTAATCATTGCTGCCTGCAAAAGTGCAATTTCACCGGTGAAGATTATAATGGGGGAACTTTAATATTCAAAACCATAATAAAAGTGTAAAATAGAGTACTTCTGTGAGTGTGAAGTATTACCAATCCCTATAAAGTACGTGGCTTCATTGCAATGCTTGTTGGCAGCAGCCTCTCCTATGTTTGCCTTGATCACTTCTTTGGTTTTCTTGAAATTGTTTACTTGATCATCAAAAGATAATCTCTGAATCTAAAACATTCAAAAGACAGAATATAAATTACTGAAGGGGCCACTCAAGTTCTAAACTGCGAAAAGAGCCCCTAGGTTTTGAAGATGTTCTGCTTACAAAGTAAAGTCCTGTATCATTGAGAATTCCTGCCCCACCAGATGCATAGTTTACCCCTTTGAGTAGGGCATCAAAGTTCTGAGACACTGACAGATAAGCTGGTGGTGATGGGATTCCAAGCTTTGCAGCTGCAACAACCCATAAAATAAGTCCATTTGCTAAAAGTTGATTAGAAGCATTCGTAATACACTTTCTAAACACTCGTTAAAGTTTATCAAAAATTATAAAATTATGAGTGGAGCTCATTAAATATAAATTGTGACCTACAAAATTATGTGATTTCTATAAAATTGTATCACTTAATAATATGTGTAAATGTATATTAATAAGATCGATTTTAAATGCAAGTACATATTACCAAATTAAATTTAACTTCTATTCAACTAGAGACATCGGTTATAACTAATGAATTATACTAAGTTCTATTATTTCTAATAAATGTACACCTATAAGGGTGTGTTAGAAAATTTATTGCTCACATTTCTCATAATTTATTCAACTTCAATACGAAGAGGAAACAAAAATAAGAAAAAGTTTGGGAAATACATATGAAATCACCAATAGTCCTTCCATTGCTGAATCTTCCAGTAGCCTGGCCACCACTGTAGTCAATCCCATACCAGGGATAGTTAGATTTGGCTAAAGAATATTGTAGAAAATTATTGTTTCCAACATCTGTCAAGGAGTCACCAAAGATATATGTCACAGGCAGAGCTGCTAAAGCAATTGCTGCCAGTGAGAAAATACAGGCAGCAAAAACCAGCTTTGGCATTGACATCTTTGTTCTTCCACCTTCTATTGCTGAAGATATAGAATTGAGTCAGCTTTTATATTAGTATCACATTTAAGTTCTGCACTGTTGTGTGAATTCTCCAAGTATGCATGTTAGGTGGCTATTTTCCAAACCACATTGACACTTGATGGTTGATGTCTCTAATCAGGAGTTGGCCAACTCAGAACATTGAATCAGCAATGTTAGCTTTTAGTAGCTCATTCACTTAAATGCTGCACATGCTCGTATTGGTGTTGCATTTGCTGCAATTTGCCTCACTCAACTCCTCTAGTTGCTGCAAGTTAATTGAAGAACAAGCAAAACGACTTGGTCAAGTAAAATAAGCGAGGAAGCAACTAAGAATTATATTCAATATTGTTTACCTACTATATATATTTTCTGTTTAAGGTAACGAGATTTGCTTAAAGTTAGGTTTGACCTCTTGTGCTGCTTGGGTTAATGAAAGTTCATTGACTTTAAAGAATTCAATTTTCTACCACTTGTCTGGGTGAAGAAACATTGAAGGATATAATGATAAACCAAGCCTATATTTTGTGAGAAAAGAGCAAGAAAAGTAAGAACAGTCTAGATATAATGTCATGCCTGCTTCATTGGCATAGTTTTAACAAGTGGGAAAAAAAGGACTAGAAATTTTTAACTTTTTATGTTATTTTTGGGTAAGTTGATAGCCCTTTTTCCTAGAGAAGTTAACAAATGAAATTTCATTTTACTATACAAGATTCATTGTAAACAACATTTTTAGTATAGTATCTTCACTTTTTATTTAATTTTTGAATAAGATTTATTTTACAATGCGTAAAATGAAAATGTAATGAAAAAAGACAGTTTATATTAAAATGTTTTCATGTAAAAAAAGTGTTTTAAAATTATTGTAATATGCATTTTAATTTTGTTACATTACTATATGTTTTTGGCAAAATTAATAATTTGCTTCTCTATTTTTTTTTTCCGATTTGATACTACAATTTTTTTTTTCTCATTTTAATCCTTCCTCTTCTTTTTGTATTCTCATTTTGCCTAATTTTCCAAACATGAAAAAAATTTTTAGGTTAGAAATTGTATTATTTTTTTTTGTCACTTGTAATAGTCTTTCACCGTTACAATTGACAAATAGGATCCAATTAAAACTAAAAAAAATGGTAAAAAGGAGTAAATAAAATAAATAAAAAGTTACAGATCAAATCAAAGCAAAAGAAATAAAGTTAAAGGATTAAAATTTAAAAATAGTAGTATTATCAAAGTTGCACAAACAATAATAATTAAAAATTATAATATTTTTAATACAAATTAAATTTATAATATATGTTAATAGTTATTTAAGAACAATTAAGCATAACATTAAGAGATAAATTACTATATTTATTGAAAATTTATATTCATTATAGTAACATGCATTTAAATTTATTACTTTAAAATAAATTTCTATAAATTAAATTAATTTTAAATTATTATTTAAACAATAAAATTTTTTATTATATATTTTACTATATATTTTTAGTATCAAATTGTGTAAAAATAAAAATAGATTTATAACTATTTTTTTAAGAAATTATATTAATATGAAAAATCATGCTATTAATATATATATATATATATATATATTTTATTCATATAAACGTAAAACGTATATATATATTTTAAAATTTGGTTTGGATCGGCCGTTGGACCGGTTGAATTAAAACCAGAAATTCAGTTGATCTGAGTCTCTTATTCGATTGAACATGTCTTCAATATATCATTGATTTTCCAGTTGAGCCACTATTTTGACAAGTTAAAGGTTAAACCGACCTTCTCAAAAGAACTTTAAAATTTCGTAGCTCTATTTCTATCATACCCTTCTTCTTGTGTGGTGTTTCCAATGTTCCTACTTGCACCAGCCTTACAAGATGTGGTTCCACCTACCAATGTTTGTGGAATTGATTTATTTGTGTCTTACCAATTCAAAATAACTTTAGGATTAATTTTACCATGTTGAACTCAACTTATCAAGACTTAATAATGATGGAAAAATGACTAGGTGAAATTATTACCACAATATATTAATTTTAACATTACATGTACTTAAACCGTGAAATTAAAACATAATATCAATATTGATATAATATTATGTTAGCTAAAATATGATTTATTAATCTAATAAACTATATTATTAATACATATAATTATTTAAAAATTATTAAATATATAATGTTTGATCAAATTGGAATGATTTATAACCACTAGGGTTAGTCTAGTGGTTAGGTGAGAAGGGGTTGGGATAGTTAGAAACATGAGAACCTAGGTGCAATCTTCATTGCGACCATCTTTGTAATCTTTCTTATCTTTATCAAATTTTTTATAGAATGATTTAAAAGATAACCTAAATCCATTTCTAAAATATATTGAGTTCAATTCGTTAAATTAAATCCGCGAAATTTTTTTTGAGTTGGACAATATTAAAGTATTATGTGAGATATTTAAGACCTACATTACTATTAAACTAATGTTATGAATTGTTAATCATATGAGATAAATAATTATTATAAATTTTTATTTAAAATTAAATATTTAAAGTTTAATCAGTTATCTATTAATTCGTTCTATATAGCATGAGGCTGTTGTTCTTGTTAAGTAATAATTAACAAAATAAATTATTAGTAATATTCTACCGATATATTGTTCTTATTTAAAAATACTGGTTTTATGTTATGACAATATATCATATATTAACCCTATGTTGCTATGTAATTTGGTTGCTCTTAAATCTGAATATAACAAATAATAATATGAGTTTATGGAATTACATTAAATTGTTATGCATTTTTTAAAAGTATAATATTAATTTTATTAAAATTTATAAGTATGAAATGTATATAAAATAAATAATTTTTAAAATTTAATAATAATCAAATCACAGGATCTAATTAATAATTTACTGATTTGATCTCTAACCTGCTAATTTAGTGTCTTAACCAATTTGGAGATATTATTTTCCCATAACCGGTCTAAAGGATAGAAGTTATGGATACCTTTAGATACTACTTGGGCTAAAGGCCCAAATTAGAGTGGTAAAAAAAAAAAAAACTTATTTTAGTGCTTTCCGCTTCAGGGTCGCGTGCATGGGATAGTTGTGGTGCAGAGGCACGCAGCGTAACAAAATCGCGGTTCCCTATAGAGGCAACAGTTTTGGGCGCGACGCGATACGTTTACCTTCTCTCCCTCTCCGTCGAAGAATGCCGCGCAGAGGAGGCGGTTCCCAGCGGAAGAAGCAACCCTCAGCTTCAAACTCAACCTCAACCTCAGGTACTTACCGTTGCTATTCAACACTCTTCTTTTCTTTTCCCTTTCTTACAATAGTTTCGCTTGCGTCTTCTCCTTCCATTGGAACTCGTAATCAGCGTCTCAAACGGGGAAGGTTTCAGGTTTGCTCGCTTTATTAATTTGTCTCGGTTTTCCCCTGAGTGAAACTTGCGTGCACCAGAAGCCGCAGCTAACAAGTCTCGAGAGGAACCACAATGTCCTGGACCGAGGGAGTTAGTTTGAGTTTCTATTACTAGGATTTAAAGACTAGAATCACTTTGCTAGGTTTTAATTTGCACTCGAGTCATGACTCGGGACTCATTTTCTTAGTGGAATTCAAATTTGAAACCAACAATTAACTTGAGAGGCATCATTTCCCCCTAACCGAGTAAATTAGTGCTCTATACTCTTGATATGGTCAAATTTTAGTTTCGCACTAGTTGATGGTGACAGCCTGATAGGATATGTTTGTTTTTGAGTATTTCCTGTCAAATTTGCAGAAAATCAAACCGGAGCACAGCAAAACTCAGAAGGTCGAAACAAATTTCAATCAGCTAGCGACAATGGTTTGATTTTTATAAAATCATGTGTCCGACAACAATTACTGAGCAAAATCGTTTTACTCATCAATAGTTACCGATGTTTATGCTGGATTTCAGGAACGCTGACCGAAATATCTCGGGAGGCTGTCGGAAAGCTTTTATGCCGTGCTAATAAAGTTGGCACCTCCAAGGAAAAGAAGAAGGTTGGTCCATCTAACTTGTTATTACTTATTCATAATTTGTGTGCAGTGCAATTCTTTTGGTGACTCAGTTACATGTTTCGATTTTATTCTTTGCATTTTAAGTTGAAATCAAATAATGACTGTCTAAATTCCTATAGTAGCATGATGTTCTTCTGATATTCTTATAGCCTGAGTTTGAGCCAGAACAGAAAGGAATGCGAGTCTTGGATCCAGTTCTCCAACAGAAGACTTCAGAAATTGGACATTGTAGTAGAAATTCCATGGAAAATGCTTTTGCAGAGGAGAAATGTGGTAATTCAGGCCAGGACAACTTGGATAACAAAGAAGAACTGGATGACTCAGATTGGGAAGATGGTACAGTTGCCAGGGATGATCGTCATGTCACAATTGAATTGAATATGACCCCTCATTCAACTGTGCAGAAACAAATTCGTCGAGCTTCTGCTGAAGATAAGGTTAATTGCTAAAGTACTGAAGTTGGCTTTAATTTGAAAATAACTTGTAGCCACTTGCTGAAAGTAATTTTGTATAATTATTCAGGACTTGGCTGAACTTGTACACAAAGTTCACTTGCTTTGTTTACTAGCTCGAGGAAGATTAATAGACAATGCTTGTGATGATCCCCTTATTCAGGTTAACTCTTGTTAATTTTTATTATTTTTAAAGGATAAAATTTTATATTAGCATTTCTATTATATGCTACAACTGTGTTATCAAGCTTTTGCCTGCTTAACATATCTCTTTTGTGGTAATCAATTCTTTTCTATTGTTATATATTTTTTTAAAACAGTTGTTAATTTTGGGATTTTCTTTTAACATGTTTGTATTTGTGTATACTTTAGCTGTGTTATCTATGCTGCATATTCCTGATTCTATTTTCTTGGCCTAATGTTTGCTAGCAATTTATTTCGGAGAAATTTTTTTAAGCTCTCTTTGGAAGTTGCAAAAATAATATATGAAGAAGCTTGTTTTGCCCCAATATAATCTAGTCTAACCATGCAAAAAATTAAAGTTTTTTTTCACTCTAAAATTATTTGTCAAGTCATGCATTTCTTGATAATGGCAGGCTTCTTTGCTTTCACTTGTTCCAGCACACTTGCTCCAGCTATCAAATGTTACAAAACTCACTTCAAAAGCTCTTTATCCTTTAATATCATGGGTATGGTTTGATTTAATCAGCACACATACTATTTTGTTGCATTTAATGTGCAGCTTTATATAAGATCATGCTTTATCTTTTGTTATATCTTGTTTGATTCCTTTTGTGTAACACTTGCAGTTCCACAATAATTTCCATGTTAAAAACTGTACGAATAGAGAAATTTCACCATGCTTTGGTTTGGCATCAGCTTTAGAATCACATGAGGGCAGTTCTGAAGAGGTAGATCTATTTTTAATATGACCTTTGTTAAGATGTCTCACATTGGGTAGGAATATGGCTAGAATACTGCTTGTAAGACTTGAGCAATTTTCCTCACTTGAATTAGCTTTTGGGAGTGAGTTAGGCTCAATCCTTTTCTTATTTGGTATCAAAGTCTATTCAATCTGAATGTTGGGCTAAACATCGATGTTCAATTCCACAATTCTCATTCTCTAGATGTCTAATCTTGAGTGTGAGGGTTGTGTGTTAAGATACCCATATTGATCAGAGATATGGTCAAAATACTCTTTATAAGGCTAGGAATTCCTCTTTCCTTGAGCTAGCTTTTGGATGTGAGTTAGGTTCAATCCATTTTTAATAGCCTTTTTGTTTATACACTTAAATAGATTTTAAGTTTCTATTTTAATTAGGTTTCCACTCACTGCAGTATGATTACCTGCACATATGACATATATGCTACTTCTATGGTCAGAACATGAAAGTGCAGTATCTGTTATTAATTCTTTCTTGACTTAAAATAAAGTATTTGATGGTTTTTTAATGAATTTTCTTTTCAATAATTGCTTAGTGCTTGACAGAAAATTTACAAGGGCAATTGTTTTTTTTTTCAATTGCAGATTGCAGCATTATCAGTGGCTCTATTAAGAGCTTTAAATCTTACTACCAGGTATTGCATTCAATTATGGAACAAAATATCTTTTTATCATTCCTCAATTACTTTTATTATACTGTTAGTTTCCAACTGCTGAAGCATTCCCCGATTCAGCAATTTAAATGAATCATTCACTCCAAAATCCTTTCATATCTTTAACCAAATGTAGGATCTCTCTTGTTATTGTTGGTATGGGAATATACAAACAGTAATGTTGCATGCAAAGTTGTCAAACTCGAGAGTCTATGTAAAATCTTGGAGCTTTTGTAGACCCGACACACAGGCTTGACTTGTTAGCTCATAAGAGTTTACTTAGTATAAAAATAACATTAGAAAAACCTATTAATGTCATGTATGTGTAACATAATACACTTAGTACAACAATAGTTCAACATTTCAACCCTATAAAAAGACAAAGTACTAAACTACAATAATAAAGTGTTATAGTACATTAGTACTAAATAGGATTAAGCTTCAAAAATGATCAAATCATATATAATTTCATAAAAACATAGTTCCTAAGGTGAAAATATTTAAAAAAGGAGTTGATTTCTTCAAATCATTTGTCATAGTGAAACACTAACATCATGGAGTTAATCGTGGCAAAAATTACATTTAATTTCAAACTCACTAACTCACTATTGACTTGAGAGTTTATAAGAGTTTATTTGGAAAAGAGTTTATAGAGTTAACTTGTTTTCTCTACTTAGGATTGTAAACTTACAAGTTTACTAGTTAACTCGAGAGTTTGACAACCTTGGTTGCATTTAATGAAATGAGTCTAGAAAAGAAACAATAATGAAGAAATTAATCTTTTTTTAACCGTCATTGGTGAAAAATTGGTAGAAGAATGATGTTCTGATTCCGGGTATATTGGCGAGTCAGGAGTTTAAATAAGAAATAGAATGAAATATATAAAACAAATAAGATATAAGTCCATCAATACTGTTGCCATGAACTACTGGTGGAGTGGGGGTATGAAAATTTGTTCTATATTTTATCATGGACTTCTGTAGAAGTGAATATGTGCTGTTAAATGGCTTATGAAAGGCATATTTCAGGTTTGTGTCCATTTTGGATGTTGCCCCTCTGAAACCAATTCAAGTTGCAAGTGGATCTCGCAATGGGGTATTTAAGACTTCTACACTGATGATATCTAAGCGCAAATTGGACTTTAAGCCACCTCAAGAATCATTATCTTTTAGTGAGAGACAAAGTGTCTGTGAAAGTTCTCTTGTCCATTCACAGAAAAGTAAGAAATGTCGTGTGACAAATCACATGGATCAGTGTAGTGATCCTTCTGTTGTTGATAGTGTTGCAATCTCAAAAGATTCTGAGACACAAGACGGTAATCTGGAATCATGTATCACTGACAAATCTCATAAATCAAAGAGGAAAGGGGATCTTGAATTTGAGATGCAGTTGGAAATGGCTCTCTCTGCTACAGCAGTTGGATGTCAGGAGAGTAAAAACGAGTTAGGTGCAAATCCTGATTCATCGAGTTTTTCTTGTCCATCAAAAAGAATGAAAAGGGTTATTGGCGAAGAATCTTTGACTTCCCCACAAGTGATTTCTACAGCAATTGGGTCAATGAAAGTAGGATCACCTCTGTATTGGGCAGAAGTATATTGCAGTGAAGAAAATTTGACAGGAAAGTGGGTGCATGTTGATGCTGTGAATTTGATTATTGATGGAGAAGACAAGGTTGAAGCCATGGTAGCTGCATGCAAAACATCTTTGAGATATGTTGTCGCATTTGCTGGGCAAGGGGCCAAAGATGTGACCCGCAGGTTTGATATTTTCTCTATATATGTTCAGTATGAACAGTGATGGTTTTGCAACTTTTATAGTACTAATCAAATTCTAATAGTTCTGCATAAACCGGATGCTTTTTAATTGCTTAACTTGCTTCTATTTTATTTGTTTTTGGAAATTTCAAATATTCATAGAAAGTTGGAATAAATTATTTGTTTCTTGGAGAACATAAACTCATTGAATACTTCTTGGCCACTAACAGAAAGGCAATGCATGGCAAATTTTGAAGTGAACGAGCAGTGTGTGATCAGTTATAGTAATTGATATTATAATATTTCTATCAATTCTCACCTTCAACTGAGAGGAACAGATGGGGAAATCCTGTTCCAACAAAACTTTGATGTTCATTGGGTCACACACCCAACGATATGAAAAAACCAAAAGTCTCCCTTATGCTGATTAAATTGTCGTTAGATTTTAATCAAATTCTAATAGTTCTGCATAAACCGTAAGCTTTTTAATTGCTTAACTTGCTTCTATTTTATTTGTTTTTAGAAATTTCAAATATTCATAGAAAGTTGGAATAAATTATTTGTTTGTTGGAGAACATAAACTCATTGAATACTTCTTGGCCACTAACAGAAAGGCAATGCATGACAAATTTTGAAGTGAACGAGCAGTATGTGATCAGTTACAGTAATTGATATTATAATATTTCTATCAATTCTCACCTTCAAGTGAGAGGAGCAGATGGGGAAATCCTGTTCCAACAAAACTTTGATGTTTCATTGGGTCACGCACACCCAACCATATGAAAAAACCAAGTCTCCCTTATGCTGATTAAATTGTCATTAGATTTTATATTCCCCCCCCCCCCCCCCCCCCC